TTCTGTGCCCTTTGTTTTCAAAGTTTCCACAGCTCACACCTTTGTTTGTTTCATTCCTTAATAAGACAGTTTTTTAGGTTTGGATACAAAGAAAAAACAAATTATTTCAGTTTGATCCAGGGAGAGTATATACCATTAATGGTGACCTATGAGGTCTACAATTAAACATCATTGGCCACATGAAAATTGATCAGACTCTGCTTAAAGGATAACGAACTTCCTCCTCAGTTAAATTTAAGGTCATTCTGCTGCTGAAAAATGATTACTTTTATGTTTGCTTTATGGGTCATTTTTCAAATTAAATGCTAGAAATCCATTTAAAGGTCAAAGGATCTATACTTTTATGTCTTCTTGCTACCATAGGGCCTAGTTAGTGAATAGATCTATTATACCAACATTTTAAATAAATGCATTTTTCTGCTTACATTAGAAAAATGTATTCTCATATTTTAGGGAACACATTTTTTCTCATTTAATTGTAACCTATTCATGCCTATTTTCAAAGTAGGTAATTTAGTTTTGTTTTCTTTTATTGTGTGCTGATATGTCTTGCCTCTCTGAGTTATTAGCCTTTAGCTGGTTAATATAATATTCCTCAAATTCGATGCTACACATTTTTCACCTTGTGTGTCCAAATCATTACTATACTAAGTGTTACATTTAGCAATATGTGAACAGAAAGCAATATGACTTTTGCAGACCAAGAGTAACCGGCAAACGGCATAAGACTAAATAAAACTCATGTGAATTTAAATAATTGTATAATTTCTGGTTGTAGCACTGAAATTCAAATCTTTCAAAAAACAATTAATCGTATATTGAAAGGAGGGAAAATGCCACTGTTGAGCACTGTTGTTTTTAGGTTTCATTATTTAGTTTGAGTGCAAAGATAACTAAGGGCATACTCCAGTGCATAATGGGTGCCAGACATTAATGGGTTAACCTCTTTATCCAACACAGATTCAAGGGGAACCAAAGCCTATCCTGGCAAGCAACAGCCACAAGACATTGTACACCCTGGACAAGACATCACATACAGACACAAACACACTCACAGCAGTGCCAATTTTTCTCAGGAGCCAATTAACCTACCAGTATGTCTTTGTACTGTGGGAGGAAACCAGAGTACCCTGTGGAAACCTATGTAAACACAGGGAGAACATGCAAACTCCATGCAGATAGAACCCCAGGTCTGGAACTGAACAAGCGCTATGAGGTAGCACTGATTACCACCCTTAATAGAAGCGTATAGTTCCATAATTACAAATCTTCTGGGATAATCCTAAAGAGAACCTGATTTTACTGACAAAAGGTGCTATAATGGCTACTGCTGTCATTCTGTTTGTCTTTGCTCTCCACAAATAGACACCATCTGTCCTACATCTGAGCAGATATAGAATCATCCCCATGTAGACCCTGCCTATTGTCTGCATTTCACCTGGCACAGAACACTGAAGGGTTCCTTTTCTTGGCTCTCGTTGTTCTGCAGCCTCTCTCTGGTCTCATACTTTCCTGACTGATTAAATGGATGGATGTTTCTATTCTCTAAACTCTCTTATTCTGGGCAAGAATCGAAGTAACATTGAACCTATCCCGGAAGCACAAGGAGGAAGATGGAATTACAACCTGCCTGTCAGGGAAGGGAATGTGTCTAAAAACTGTACAATTTACTGACTAATACAATTAGTTATCATAAGCTGTTCCTATCTATCTAAGCCTGATCACTGAAAAAAAAAATTATTTGGAAAATTAAGACAAGGTATTCAGCTTTCATTTACTTAAAAATAAAATAGACAGATGTGGGTGTTGTTTGAAAGTATGTTGATAAGCACTGTTTCAGATAATTGTTATTTTTAAAAACAGGTAGTTATGAATTGAGATTTCCATATACTGTAGATATTACAGGAAGGGAAGTGTTCAAGCCTCAGATACAGTATCTGGGTATTTTCTCCACTTTATTGAAGGTCAATATTATCTTCACTGGTTGCACTTAACTTTATACCAGGGTAAATAGAGTCTGTTAATATACTATTGCCAAAATAACTAATAAAGTCCTGCTTTTATTGCATGGTTATTGTCTTTCTGTCTACAATTACTGTAATTACTCATTCCCTACCTCCTCTAGGCTGAAGTGCAGCAGTTAATAGAGTGCATTTTACTAATGGAAAATTAAGTAGCACTTGTGACAGTTTGGTTTATAAATATGTAAAATATACTTTTAATTATTTCAAGTGAATCTGGCAGGTAATCAATAAAGTAAGACGTGACAAACATACACTTGACATTCACCATTGTAAAAAGACTGGTAAAAGATAAGCACTTCCTGTCAGCAGAGAACTACTCTAATTAATATTTTGAGCTTGTCATGTCGAATGACAAATGGATTAATTGCACCATACTAATATAATAGGCTCCATATAGTGAAAGAAAAAAAAAGTTGGTTTGAACTCTGACATTAAATATTTATTAGAGGTTAAGTATAGATTTTATGACTGCATAGATACTACTTAGATGCAATTGTTTATCATTTATTTGAAAAACAATTAATTGCAGTTAGTTTAAAGTAATCATATGAATGCCATTTGGTTCAATTACATTCACTGAGGTAATGGCATAATCGGTCAGTAAGCTTCTTAAAAACAAAGTATCAGTGATATCATTCAGTGAATGGGCGGACGTTGGTCAATACACCTTTTACTCCAAGAATGGTAAATCCTTGTGAGGCAAAGCACCTCAGATTGTATCTTCCTATCAGAGCAGTTATATGCTACATGTGATTTCACAAATCCCTATTTTTTGTTATTTGAGGATCCTTTGCATTTTATAACTAAACATGCAAAGCTTTGCCTTGTGACCAAAAATAAGAGGTTTAAACTGAGGCTGCATGATTTTCTGGCTGACTAAGGACTGGACTCTGCAACCTATAAATGAGAATATCTGTGATAATCCACATGACAGATATAAAGATGGGTAGTTATCCATACGTGTGTAAAGTAAAACCATTTGAATAATTATTAAGATACAACAAAGTCTCATATATTGTTTTAGATCACAAAGTCTCTTACTAAACATTGTGAAGGAAGCCTATTTTTGTACTATTGTAAGCAGCAGTTATTGAAGTGCAATGCACAATAACAGATCCCCTTATTTACATTATGAGCAGTAATATAAAACATGAAGCTTTTTATTAAAGTCTTTACATTATGTATAATGTCAGAACTGGCACAGTTCTACTCTAAGTAAGAAAGCAAAGGAATTTTAAGAGCTAATTTCATTTACTTTCATCAGTTTAGCACACCATTGTGACTATTTGCTAATTTACTGTAAGTGGGGAATTCAAATTAAGATGATAATGAATGTAACCAAGGATGTCAATCTACCGCTTGAGATAAATCACAATGTTTTGCGAAGATTTAACACAGAAGTAAGCATTAGACTGGCAATGTAAAGGAAAGATGTAAGCTTTGGTATCCTTGGAAAAGTAAACAGAACAAACAACAATAAACTGAATTCCTTCTGCCAGCTGTCCTTCTGTATTTGGAAGTTAACCTTGAGTCTCTTAACAGGCAGTCTTCCTTGATTTTTTCCACCTTCAAAAGGAGGGGAAAAAACTAGTGCAGTCTGTTTGGGTCACAAGGAAGTGTTCTCATCAATTAAATGCATGACAGTATTTTCCGTTGGATGAACTTATATGTCAAGGAGATGGGCAGGACCTCATGTTTGTGCTTTTGACAAATCAGCAAATGTTTAATCTCAAGATGTGCTACTTCTCATAAATAATGCAGTGATCACTGAGCCAAAACTCTGTCTGCCAAGAGGGAGTCTCTGCCACAAAGAAAATGACAAAATAGAACTAAATCCTTTCCCACTGAGATCAGGGCTTTGCTTTTTTTTTCTCCTTCTTTTTTCCATCCTATTTTCTGTAAGGATTTATGCACTTAATCATTCTCCGTCTGTTAAACTACCTGTGAAAATCTAAATCTGTATCATATGCTGTGAAAAATAATATGGAGGAAGTGTAACTGTGCCTTTTCTGCTGGGTTGGATGTGCAATGAATTACCACAGAACTGTCAAACTGCCTTTAATACAGCAAACTGGCAAGGCAGTGTTTTTATTGCATAGATCTTAAAAAATTAAAAACAGGTATTGAACTGGCTCATATCTTCTACACCCTTTATCTGTATGTCTTTTTTCTCCTGAGCTTGCCTGCAACAAATGAGACTGCAAGAGTGATCTGTGGATCAGGGCAAAATAAGATTTCTGTTGGAATCTCTCTATCAAATGTTAACGTATACAGTACTTTGGCTGCCACAAATGTAGTAAATTCAGTATCTAAAAATATACTTGAAAAAAATCAGAAATGGGATGTCTTCTATTCATATTGTATGTTAAATATGAAATCTACCCTTTAGCTCTCTGTCTTTAATGAAAAGGGAAACATATTTTATAGTGTCAGTTATTATAATGTGCTTTAGGTCAAAGAGAATATATTTAGAATTTTTTAATGTTCAAGCCTTTAATTTTAAAACTGAACTTCAAAATGTCTTGACAGTAAAAACAACAATCACAACTGGATTATATTTTCAAGTGTTACACAAACATGTTTCAGACCAGTTGTTTTTGAAAAACGTTTTCTACAAGAGTAAAATAAAGAGTAAAATAACTGAGATGTCATGCTCTCTCTTACTGTACCAATTATGTATTATTTAGAAGGCTGCATCCCTGCCTTACTGTTTTGTGATTTGGTGTGTTCTGTGTTGAAGGAGATGTTAACAGCACTCAAGGCTTTCAATGTGGCAGTCTGGAGAAGTAATTGTCCTGTCAGCTGCTATTGCATTATGCAACCTTACATTACAAAATACTAATATTATATAAATTGTTTCAATTATAGTTTAAACTTACTGTGTTTTATTGTGAAAACATAATTAATTTGTTTCGAAAGATTTATGCATTTCTGTTGTACCCTATTTTAATATTTTAACTTTCTTTTTTGTCCCAGGCACTAGGAAGTTGCTATTTTCTCCATGAATCCTTGAAAAACATCCATCAGTTTGATTTTAAAGGTGAGAACATTTTCTTGATTTGAGCTGTGAACTGGTGTGTTGATTCTGAAAACTTCAGGAAGATTGTTGTTACTCAGGAAATTACTTTGTTTAGTCAATTTTCCATTTTCAATTGATTTCACAGATACAGAATTATATGTTGTCCAGTTTAGCATTTTGTTTTTCCTATCCTATAAGATCAAGTTGTAACATCTGTTCATTATTAAAGAGAATATGAAACAAGTAATTCCTTATTTACTTTATATAAATATGGAGAGCATTCATTTGTAAGACATAAAACTAAAGAAGAGCAGACGTGTGGGACTTTCTAAAAAAGGTGGTACCACCTACCACCTACCCATGATGGCTTTAGAATCAGAATGAAACTACTTTCGTTCATAGCTATTTTCTTTACATTGAATGCTCCTACTCTACTCTTTGGACAGTAATACAATGGTCATATCAGCAGTTTGTCTTTTGTATGAATGAGATATGCTTATTTAATCTTCATTTTCATCCATTTTTATGTGCAGAGATTAAGATGTGTGTCCATGTGTGTATGTAAAATCATCTATGAAAAATGTACCCTATAAATATTGGGTTCTAATTAATTAGTTTTCTTTTCTCAATAATTGTGAATAGAAATAATTAGACATTTAAGCTTGACTTATCATGGACTTATGTCATAAGGAGAATGTCACAGTAGCAAAACTAATTAAAACAGTGATATAGATATGAAGGGAAACACCCCATTATAAGTCAGCATTAAGATAGGTCATCTCACTGAAGGACAGCAAGTTCTTGTAGGATGAAGTAGCAGTGAACTAGATTCTTTGGAGCTAATAAAGACATGTGGGGAAAGAGTGAGGACACCCCTGTTTATATATATATCTCGCATATTATAAAACTAGCACACCAGTTACATATTGCTGTATGCATTTGTCTATATTATATAGTACAGTATAATGTTTTATTTTTCTGGCTTAAAAATCTACCAGCCAAAGGGATGCACAAACTACTCCATTAGACAATGTGTTTTTTACTAAACTGTGACCATCCCTTAAACTTGGATTCCAGTGGAATGTGTTGGAATATATAAATCCAATATTATTTTATATAATATCCAATATTAACACAAAGTCGTATGCTTGCTTTTGTTTCTTCTTGGGTTAGCTGGTGCAGGAAGCTCTTTGAAAATGAGGTTTAGTGGATACAAATAAAGCCTAAACCTCATCTTTCCAACATCTGGAAATGAACTCTAGTGCTTGGACAGATCTGTTGCTTTTAGTGACAAGATGAGCTGTTACTTACTTCCAGTAGATGGAGCACTTGCAAGGGAAAGTGCTTAGTGTGTTTTCCTAACCGGATCATCTGCAGGCTGAAAGTTAAATTTGTGCATACAAATCACACTTCTTTGGCTTATTGAGATATTAAACTTATTGCTAAAACTAGAGTACTATAGAGTTTGATGTACTTTATTTTATTTTTGAATGCTTGATTTCTTAGCCAAGAAATACAAGAAGGTTATTGGAAAAGAGATCTATTCCGACACACTAGAAAGCACCCCCATGTTGGAAAAGGAGAAGTTTCCACAGGAATATTTTCCAGAGGTATGTATACATGCAACATTATTGCATTATGGATATTCTGTTTATGACTGCTAGCTACAATAGGTCATTTGTATTCCAATAAGACAGGTAGGGTTTAGCTATTTACTAAAGTCACTGTCCACACTGAATTTTTGGATAATAAGCTGGCAAAGAAGAATTATCAATAAAAGACTTCTCTTTACATAAGAATCACTTATTATTAATTGAACAGATCACATTAGAACTTGATGGAATGACTCATAGTATGATCTTGGTCTTTAATTATAGGTTGTATTAGTTCATATCATCTGATCAGATAATTTCATATGAAATTTCTGGCTTGTCTCTGATGGACATGATGATGAAAGGCCCAAGGCTTGAAGTCATTTTAAATGTATCCCAGTAACACTAAAATAAAATGATTAAGGGACTAAAGATTGTGTCAAAGCCTTCTTAAGGGAATACTGACCAAAGGGCCAAAGCATTTTAGTGAAATGGAACAGCCTATCCATTTGAATTTCAGAAGCCTATACCCTGGCTTTCTTCAAGAAATGGCAGGATGAGGTCCTTGGAACAATTAACTACTAACAACCAAGTGGGCTAGTGTGGCAGAATGGCTTCCTCTAGTTTGTCACTTATCTTCTTGTTCACATCTGAAGCTGAAACATTTATTCTCTTCTGTGTTCATTACAGGACGGAACACTCTGCATATTCCGTCAGTATCTTTAATAAGATTTCCTTAAAAACAGTGTATTTTGCTATGTCTTTGAGCTCAAGAGTATAGTGTAATTGGTGATAGTCCACTCAAAACTGTGATGTGCTTCCTTGGTGGGCATCTGTCTTTGTCTGCAATAGTATACTGCTGTGTGACTGTTCTCCACTGATACAATGTTAACAAAGTCCTTCCTTTAGCTCTGTTGAAAGTAATAAAGACTATAGCCAATACCTCTGCCACTATAAACCGTGACATGTTGATTTTTCATTTCATTTATTACCCTAGCTTCGGCAGATAATGAAGAAATATATGCAAAAAAGATCTATATTGGTTTAAGGCATATCTCCCTTTCCGTTTCCTGTTTTTCTATTCCTTTTTTTTAACGTCATTTAAAGATGATCTAAAAGTAATTACATTGATTGAGGCATAATGCAATTCAAAATAATTACAACCCACTGCATATAAAAAAGAAAACTAACAAAACTTTTCATCTTGATTTATGGTCTCTTCCCTGCTGGGTTATGAATCTCAAATGATGCCTCTGGGAGCAGCACTCTAGATAATGTTAGGCCATTTAAAAAGAGCAGATTTGTGTAGTCTATCAGAGCTGAGTATTTTTTTAGCCCGTAGTGAGAAATTGGTTGTTATCATAGATCACAGATACTGCTCAAACCTCTTATGAAAGATGAATTAATTTCACTAATGCTTTAATGCAAACCTTTCATGAGGAAGGCAGTCTGGCGATAACCTTTGCGAGGTCTCTCCTTTCTCAATGGTGATTTATGTTGTCTTTTAGTAGATGAAACTGCCTGTATTCGCAATCCATCTGCAGCCTAAAGGAATCCTATTAACAGAGAATCCGGGACACGACTTAATACTGTTGGTTTGCAAATTCTGTGTCCCTGTTTTGTATACTGTTATTTGTGATGAAGCAAAGCACTGTCAGACAGAGCTTCAGTGTAATGCTGATCAGGAAGTGCTTTAAAATTATATTTTTTTCCAACCTTATTTTATTGTTATATATGAAAATGTTTAAAAAAGCATTAAAAAATGTATAGAAGGTAGTTGAAAATGGATTGCAGACTCTAATAGTAGTCTCAGATAGTTACCTCTGCTTTGTTGGCTTAGTGAACTATGCTAAGGAGGTAGTGACATAGTGAAGTCACTATGTGGTAGTGAAGAAACTTCAATAAGAGTTGTTAGTGAAAAAATGTGAGGCTATTTGTCTTTTCACAACATGACTGGCATGACCCTTTCTGCCCCTTTGCTGGTTCACACCTATCTGACTTGGAGCTGTTCAAGCATTAAGGAAAATGACTTGTTAGTTGTCACTTCTGTTTTCTTTATTGACGCTTAAAAATAGCAGATAAGGTATACAGTGAAATGTATTTGTCATGAGCTTTGAGCCAATAGTCTTGGTGTACACATGGGGATTTGCCTTAACCTGAGAAGCATTGTCACTTCTTCACTGTAGCAGTGCTGCCGTCTGAGCAGTGGTTTATTAGTGGTGTGAGCTGATATGTTGCACAGATAAGAGGGAACTCTGTTATTTTATGACCCCACCCTGAGCTTTCCCCTGGGCCTGCTGTAGCCATAATGATTTGGTATCTGAAGGCTAGAGTCCCTGCCCCTGTGCAAAATACACTTCATTAGTTAAACTTTTCAGAAGAAAGAATAATTGATAAACAGAACAAGAAGCAAAGTGGCAAAAATTCTTGTCTCTGAGTAGGGGTTTTGAAATTTTCAGTAATCTAATTTTTTAAGTGAACTTAACATAAAAGCATCATAGTCCTGGCACTTTTGGATTAAACCTCTGTGCTATATTCATATACGTTTTATGTAAATTTTAAAAAATGATTGTAGTATTCTGCCCGTAGAAAATACTTTTTATGTGTGAAATGCAAAGTAAATGAGCTTTGAATGAATAAGCAATTTCATCTACAAGTCTTTGCTTACACATGAGCTTAAAATGGAGTAGTCCATTTTTTACAGAGTATAATTGTCAATCTCTAATTTCAAATAAACTCTTTTCTATAAATACTGGGTAATATTTAAATCTTTGGGTCAGAAAGATATATACATCACAGTCACTTTTTGTTGTGCAATCACTGAAGCCCATTCTCTGCTATGTATCTTTCTTCCAAAACCCCACTTCTCCTTTAAGAACCCATTAATACATCCCAGTTTGGGCCACTTTAATCACTCTTTTCTTCCTCCCCATACTCTGGTCACTTCAATAAACCTCTGCTGGGTCACTGTTTAATTTGATATGGCCCCTCCTGAGTGAAATGATAGAATCAAGATAAATGGAGGCCCTCCATTGGACAATATCAATCATGGTTTGTGTGTATTACTTACTGCTCACAGTGCATTTTGACATTAGCCCTTCGCAACCTCTCCTCCAGCTGGTGTTACACAGAAGTGTCTGCACCCATGTGTAACCAGTGGGCAGTTATTTATGAGGAGGTGGTCTTTCTGGTAGATGTAAAAGGTCAGTTAAAAAATATGCTTCCCATTGCTTGTGTTATGACACTTGATAGGAGTGAAACTTACAATACACAGAAATTCCGTTTATAGACTGCTTTCTCCCTGTAATGAAAACATCTGTTTGACAGCTCCCTCTCCTCACCTCGACTTTCATACCCTAGCCAAACCAAACAATAACATATCCACATGCTTGCACATCATTGTTTATGCGATGAAACTTATGCAGCCCTATGAGGTGTTGTTGATGTGACCTATAAGTGAGGACCTTTAGGTGCTGACCTTTGAGAATCCCAAAATAGCGTAATGGTGGGAAGAGCATCACCCATTGGACATGGTGTGCTACTGCAACTGGAGCAGGATTCAAAATCTACTGGGAGGATTTGAGACGCATAATAAGTAATGGGAATCTCTACTGTTATGGTACAGAAATCAGATATATTTTAGTCATATTCATTTTCTCTTTAAATTGGAAAATGTGGAATTTAAATTAATCACAAAATATAATTGTTCCCAACTTTCACTATTATTATTATTATTATTATTATTATTATTATTATTATTATTATCATTGATAGTAGCAGTAGTCATTTTCATTCTTGTGTCTGACAGCATTCTCTAAAGAGATTTGTGGTTACGCTTATGAATTGAATTGTATGTAATGGAAAATGATAATCCCACAGATAACTGTGAATAAATTGCATTGCAGAGTGGCTTTGTGTATTAAGTAGAGTGAGCTAATGAACTTCCAAGTATGCAAAGCTATGCTGTCACGTAGTAAAACAAACATCTAATTTGAAAGTCAAGGGAGATGAACACATGAATAAGGTGCAAGATTAAAATACATTACACTTGAACAAAACAAAATAAAAACCCACAGATAAAGTACAAAAATTAACCTGCCCATGCATCAGGAATAAAAAGGTTCATTGAAATGTGTTTGTGATCTGATAGTCAGTGCTTTGACATTTCCTAAACCCAAAAAAATATAGACAAAACTTTGTCATTTTAATATTTAACATTAGCAACATTTAGCATAATAATCCCTTAGGAGTTTGATGAGAGTTATTTTGTCTGTATAAAGTATTTAAAAGAGAGCCTTTTGGGGAGGGGAAGTGTTTGGAAAGAATATCTGTTGGCATTCCACTTGGAAGTCATAAGCAAATGATGAATACAAGGCAGTTTTGCTATCTATCTAAAGAGAGCTCGTATAAATCAGGAGCGATCAGATTTGGTGTCAGAAGGAGGTGATAAATGCTAATGGCATGATTGTAGTTAATGTCTCTTTAAATTAAATTTCCCCACACTTTAATAAGAGGACCAGCCTGAGAATTCCTGAAGCTTTGGCACGCCCCCTCTCTTATTTAATGTAATAAAGGTACTGTAGCCCTGCTCAGTTATGAAGATTAATTCACAAAAGATACTACCCAGAAAGATTACAATTGACTTTGCTATTTTCAATAAATATTTATGTAAATGTGTTTCAAGTAAATCATGCTGCATTTGTCAATATTAGTAAGTGCAAAAATGAAGTATATTTTAGTGCATTTAATGCTTATTCCAGGTACACAGAAGCTGTGTTATGTGCTGGTGTTTGTGTGAGTGTATATTTAGACTTGTCATGTAAAAAAGGTTTTTTTTATGTACACACAAAATAAGTGTGTATCTCAGTTATTTCAATTACTTTATTAGATTAGTTTTTCTTATCTATTTTAAAAAGTCTCATTTACAAACTCCTTCCCACAAAAGCAGTCAACAGAAGTAATTTAATGTGTGATTTTAGAATACTTGTAATGGCATCCATGTGTATGAAAATACTGAAGGATATAAAGGTTATATAGCGTCAATAGTGGACAAAACAGTAGTGGTCTCTTGTAAATATCTGTGTTGTACTGTATTGCGAATGTAGTTAAAAATCATTCCTTTTCTACTTTTATGTTTACATTTGAAGTTCACATGCCTGTCGTTATTTCTGTCCACCTCAACAGCTTTGCAGCTAGAATTTTTTTTATTACAATATCGTTAAAATTGCAATATAGCATTTCATCCATTTGACAGAGTGAAGACACACTTGAGTTCTACCCCGTTCCTAGTAGTTATAATTGGCTGCTGATTTTGTGCAAGTCAATATGGATTAATTCAAGTATGCTAATGTAATTCAATTTGATTCAGTTAATCTTACACTAATGCAGATTGAAGGATATGAAATGTGATGAGATACCTTTCATGCTTTAATTTATACCAGAGTTTATTAATACGTTTAGTCAATTTGCAATTATGTGACCTAAGCTTTAATTAGTTTTATTCATCTCTTCAGTTTTCTCCTGATTTGTAGTTTGGGATTTTTAAATTATTAATATTTAAAATATAAAAAATAATATTTTCTACTAGTTCTCTGGATTTCTCCTAAACTGTTAAAGCATATCTATAATGTCTATGTTTTATTTTAAACCTGTTCAGTGCTTCTTTTTATATACTCATAGAGTATGTCCAATTTTAAAATACACCCCTTTTATTTCTTATTCTAGGTCATTCAGAGTGGGCTTTGTAAATATGTTAAACATCAGCTAATCTTCCTAATTAAGAGAAATCACTTTATTAGCCATATACAATTTCTTGCATACCCCAGCTTGCGGGGAAAATCACATTAATTTTTTTGAATGGTGATTGTAATATCAGTTAATGCCTTCCTTCTTTTCTCCTTAGTGTAAATGGTCCAGAAAAGGCTTCATCAGAACACGATGGTCTATTGCTGATTGGTAGGTTTACGTCTCCTATTTGCTATGCATTCATCCACTTATTCAAAAGAATTGTACTGAGTCTTCATTTAGAGTCAAGAGTCTTTGTAGAGAGCAAGTTTGGGTCCACTCATACATTGTGCGGTGAATTGGTCTATTGGATTAGGCATAATCATATTAGTCAAGAAGTTGCATATGACAGATGACACAAGACATTACATGCAATGGAACCTGCATCTGATGAATATCAATGTTTTCTTCTCAGGAGAGGTAATTTAATATAAAGATGACATGAGAAGAAAGAAATGAAACCGTAACAAGGCGAAAGTCTCAGGAGGGGTGGTAGGGATTCAGACAGGCAGGATTTGAGCGCACAGCAAAGACACCGCAGGGATTAGGAAGTGGAAGGCATGTTTTAGGCAAGGAACCTTTGCAGCTGAAGTGGGGTGGGTGTCACTGGTGATGGTGGTGGTGGGGGGGATGCATCATGGCAGACAAACTGTCAGTCAAAACTTTTAGTCATAATAAAGTGCAGAGAATCACACAGCTTTTGGAAAGTGTTTGGTCCTCACCTGGCTCATTTCAAACATCTAAATATGGAAAGGCCATCTGTTCTCCACCGCAGATAAATTTTAATCGATTTGAAGAGAAAAAACCCTTATCCTTTTTACATTGTTTTTTCTTACAATCTTATTATACATCCAAAACAATGCGCCTGTTACTAATTTGTTTCGAAAGGAATAAGTGCATATTTTGTTTGCATTTTGTGTTACACATACAGTAAGTGACAAATGTAACTTCTGGATGCTATTCTACAATTTCTGGAAGAAATTAAGATTTACTAAGCGTATATGGAGGGTATGCTTACACTGCTTCATTGCTGCCTACCAGTGCTTTTCATTTTGTAAAATATTCACCCTCTTAATTTTACCTGTAATCAATAAACCCTGTTTACTTCTATTCAAGGTGCAATTAAATTACATTGAGAATGAATAACGAAGTGCTGCTGTGCCTTGAGGAGAAGGGTTGATACTTTTATCAGTAGGAATTGGATTCAGCTATTACAGGGGGTATAAAGTCGTGAGTTATGGGGTTCCACTCCCGCAGAGGTTAATTTCCAGCCCTAGTCTCAGGGCATTTCAATGATGACTCACTGTGTGATGGTTGTTTTCTTGACAGTGCCTTTGACTTGGTGAACATTCATCTTTTCCACGACGCTTCCAATTTAATTGCTTGGGAAACCAGCCCATCTGTTTATTCAGGAACGCGGCAGAAAGCACTTGGTTACGTTCTAGATAGGTAAGAACCTTTTTACCTTTTAATGACTTTTTTTTTGCCTTACTATAAACAGACGTTTTGCAAAACATGTTTGTAGCAGTTGGATGTTGTGTCGAAGGGCCCCATTTGTTCCTGAGTTCACAAAATGCAGGTGTACCCACAGTCATGGAGACTTAGACCTCATAATATACTATTCCTGGTAAAATAATTGGAAAAATTGAGTTTAGCCCATCCCCACCCCGACTTTCTAGTATAAGTTTTTAGCTTTGAACAGCTGTTTTCTCATCGAAGTAATGATACAGTTCTAGAAAACTACTTTTATAGGACACTTAAAAATAACTATGGAAAATAAATACATTCATTTCAGTTTGGGGTTTACCTTGCACTCAGTTTAGTGGACTTCAGCAAATGGTGAACTTCACATATAATTAATAAATTGTGTGTATGGATGGCAGTACTGCTGCCCAGGTGAAGTCAAGCATCCATTATCGGAAAACTGCTTATTCTTGATATGGTTTTTGACAACCCGGAGCCTATCCTGAAAGCATCAGTTGTGAGGTGGGATTCCAAAATACTGTTTTATCGTTTCTTTGGGATGGGATTAATCGTAAACACCCGGAAGAAACACAGCCATGGAAAGCATGCAGACTCCACTCAGATTCCGGCCACACTACTTTGCTGCCCAGACTAGGGAATGGAGTACAGGAATTGACAAAGCAGTAGTATCTCCTTATAGGGACACAGTTTGCAATCTCATTTGAAGTTGCATTTTAAGAAAGCATGTGTTGACTTTGGGGTTTGGTCAGTGCATGACATCAGAATATAGAATACATATATGATCTACATGGCCTAGATTTGGATTGTAGTATATTCTTGCAATCAGTAATTTACCAATATTTTGACACTCATTAAAATATTAACTGCTTTTTTATTTCAAAGGTCACATACTTTCTCTCATTTCATTTGATGAAAGAGTGTACCTGATTTAAGGAAGGGGTAGTTTCAGCATTCTGAAATGAAGATCCTTTTAGTTTTTATATCAATCTATAATTTAAATACATTTATAAATAAAGTAGCTAAAGAGGTATTTCCAGTAGATCATATATAGGTTTATCCTATGATGTATTTTAGTCTCTTATATTAATGGTTTCAAACTCGTCATTTAAAAAATCAATCATGCATACGTTTCTGTCTCTAGTTAAAAAGAGAAAAAATAAATCCAGCCTAACAAAACAAAAACATCTAACAGGTTTAAAGAAAATACCTCAGAACCTCCCACGAAGCAAATAACCAAACAAAAGTTAGAAGGTAATAGTTTTTTTAAACTCCTTAGTATATCATTAAAATTTGACAATGCCAGAGTTGTCAATATCTGCTTGTCTTTGGAAAGCGAATCTTGGAATTTTACACCATGGCTCCACTGTGAGGCTGCATTTTGCATGAATCGCTTGTTTTGAGAGAGCAGCCAGCCGCAGATCCGGACCTCCATCGTGAAACAGTGGGCCGAGCCACACAATAGCAGAGTTCTGTAGGAGCAGTGAATAATGGGCAAGTCCTTTCATCAGAGCTGCTAACCTTTTGGCAGCCACCAGCAAACACTATTCTGATCCGCTGATCGGGGAGGACAATACACTGAAACTCACTTTGAATGAGCGCTACCACCAACAGTGTCCCCATTCAGGAGGGTTTTGGGAACCATCTTTTCCCATTGTCTATCCTCACTCCTTCCAAAAAGTAGGAAGAGGCGAAAGTGAGAATATCTATAGTGTAAAAAACTTCTCTTCCCTTCCCCCCTGCTCTCTCTCTCTCGCCCCTAATCTCTCTTTAAAAGGGGTGTAGATCTACATTTCCAGCTGAGCTACTGTAGCTATTTGGTGTTGGATAATCACAGGCAAGAGAGGTTTCATGCTGGTTCTTTGAATTTCTCTTATCTGCATTGAGCTAATAAGGCAGATTTAGGGCCATTGAAAACAGATCTGATAAGTCTTTTCCTCCCAGGCCTTTAAACTGCTGAACAGTGTTTATCACCAAAGCGTTTCAAGACCAGGGAACAATACTGAGAAGGAACACAGTTTAGGGAGCTAAACTTTCATTGAATTGCATCAAAACATTTTTTCTTCTTTTTGTGTCTGTTTTTTCACTGAACCAAGTGAAGCATTACTTATTTTGTGTCTTTGAATGTTGAAATGCACTTTTTTGATGGCAAGCAAAGATTTTGATCTAAATGAAGAAATAAAATTTGTATTGTTTTGGGATTATTTTGTATATTCTTTAGAATTCATATTTGGAATCTCTGTAAGTAACACAAACTTATGGATTATAATTGAGCCATTATTTTATATTATTGAAATGTCGGTAAATATGCCTCTTTTTGGACTGTTATTATCATTATCATTGTTAAGGTTTAAACACTGTCATTTTGGCATGTAGATTTATTTTGTTAAAATTACCTAAAAACAATCTTGCATATATTCACTAAAATGCTTCAAATTTGTTAACTTACATCTGGATGATTGGCCCAAGATGTTATGGAATAATTCAAGCAATATTTCTTTGTGCACAAGCTCTAAAGCTCCCTTAAAGTATTTACCACAGTGAAGAGACTGTGTTTTATTAAAATAATTTTTAAACCTAAAGTGTTCTTTTGTTCCTTTTGTTTGTATTTTTTTCTGTTTCCCTTTTGAAAGTTGCTGATCTAGTTTAACAGAAACATTTTTACATTACAACTGTGAAATCTTGGTATAAAGCAGCCCTTTGTCGATCTCATTATTGTCTCACAAATATAGTCCATTGTCACATAGCTGAAGTTAATTTGATCAACATTCGGACATTTAACTTTTATGTTCAGTCAAAAGAGTTGTTTCATGCTCATTTTGGGCATTCAAAAGAAATGATTGCCAGAAAAATAATGTTACCATTAACAATTCAGAGCAATTAGTTTCCCAGGGAGAGTCGATGTGATGCACAGGCTCCACACAGCAATTCTTTGTCATTTTATGGATGGTCATCAGTCAACTGTCACCCCTTTTCAAAGACCCCTCCAATCTAAATGTTTCTCTTTAGCCTTTTCCCAGAATAAGCAGCTGAATGAAGGAAGAAAGGCTGCTCAGTTTCCAGGCAATAGACATGTTCAGCTGTAAGGAGGCCTCTGTAATGTGAGGTGCTTTTCGATGAAGCCGGATGAATCTATTAGTTAATCTTATCGTTCATTCATATGACATTTCTTTGAGTGCCTATCTTTAGTGAAGGTTTATACATGTTGATGACATTTCAGGTGATCAGGAGATGATACTTATTAGGATCACTGGCCTGCAGAAGTTTTGTAAATGCGTCATCCTCATGAAAAATAATGGTCGAGGCTAGTTGGAAATATCATTTTGAATCTTTATATTTGTTTAGTTATTAATAAATGTTATCTAATGCTATCTTTGAGGCACTTTTAAGGCTTGAAACTGGGAATTATTGTTATATAGGGGTGACTTCTGAACTGGCTTTTCACCTTGAGGGTGTTAATGCGAAGCTGGCATCAGAAACATCAAATGCCTTGCATGTTTGTTTTTAAGGGTAAAGGAAGTTGTGCCATTTCATTCATAACAAGAAATTGACTTTTGTCTAAAGTACACTGCAGGTACACTGGTTGTTTGTTGCATTCAAGCTCAGGAATTCTTTGGTGTCCAGTATTCTAACTTAAATTTTCCTTAAAGCTTTATCAGAATTGGTTTTTTTTCATTAATTAAATGCTGTTGAAATATAGTGTCATTAATCCATTGAACACTTGTCTAAAATGGCACGTAGGCAGATTTTTGTATATATCACCTTTTACATCTTTATTTGATTTTTCACTCGTGGCTTTTGTGTCAAAAGAACGTTTTATAATTAAAGGAATTCATGACTTGGAATACATGAACGATTGTTGTGCTCTTTTAACTTTTTTTCTGTAGTTCCACAGACTGCCCTGATGCCTAAGACAAATAATCTTTTAAATGATTATAAATATGCTTCTGTATGTATATATTGTCCAAAACATAATTAACTGATGTTATTAAAGTGTTAGCTGGTTAGTAGTAAAGAAATCACTAGAGCACTTTCTATATTTACACTTATTCTCTTTTTCTTTTACTTATTTGAGGAGACATTATACATCTCAGGCCTTACAATTTTCATATTAAATACAGTCTTATGCATTACTGGTTTTAAAGTGAACCGCTTTACTACTGACCTGTTATTCTGTCACCCTTCTGATCTAAACATAAAAATCTATAAATGTTGAAGCCTGGTACTTATTAGTTTACAAGGAAATAAAAATAAATTAACATTAAAATGGACGTCTTCCAATTTAGGAAGCATCCACTAAACGTATTACAGTGTAATGGGCAATTCAGCTGGAGGTTATAAAATGAGTACTCTCCTTCCTAATTTGCTGAAGCTGATGTAAATGACAGGGTGTTAGTTTTAAGAATTGAGCATCTTTTCTTTTTATTAGTGCAATAAATTAGGTTTGGTTGTAATGAGGTTCGCAAATCCATAGCACATAAAATAAATGGTGCTGCTAGCCATGTGGTAGTGATGGTAGTGTGTGTGGTGGGGTCAGTATTGCTGGAATAATGTTCTGTAAATATAGGATATGAAAATGTCACTTGAGAGTTACCAGAAGAAGCTATTATTGAAGACAAGAGTAATGGAATTAATGGGACAGATGAAACACCGATAAACACATTACAACTGAAATGTGAGATATTAAGTATTTTCACTGTTATCAAATAATATTATATATTTTTTATCATATTAACATTGGATATAAGATGGGTCAAACAAATAATGATTTATGATTTGTTAGACCTCACCTTATGTTCAGATTTTCAGTTATAAAAGGTTAGAGTATGAAAATTAGAATTTTTTGCCTTAATATTTAAAGTGTTTTGATTCCTGGCTGAAGTTGAATCTGTCAGCCCTGTCTATGTCCGGTCACCTTTCAGTGACCTTCTCTACCAGTGAGCTGGACTCCTCCTGGCTCTATTCTAACAGGGGTGAACTGGGAGGCCACAGTGCCCGACCATTTCATATGGAAAGTGTAGCTCCTGTTGTCTAACCCCATGAGGTCACATTTAAAGATCAGGGCCTTACAATTTTTTTAAATTTTCCTTCTGAATTGTACCAGAAAGAAAATAGCATGCTGGGGGAAGTATGGAGTTCATTCAAAATGTATTAAAAACATGGAGACCCTAGAAATAAAAAAACATCTTGAATCTGATACAATGGTATTAATTGATTTAAGCAATGTATAATTTATGTAATTTATAAATCCTAAATATATACGACTTTCAAATGAATGATATAGAATATAATTGTTGTTGCACTACCTCTTCTTTTACTACTAATGATGAGATTAAGTGCAGGGCAAAACATGAACGATGGCACGATCTGACAAGACGTTGTAATCTGTTTCTATTATATCTATTTGTCATGCATACTTATAGACAGAGATTAATGATACTTCAAGTTGATTTAAAGTTTATCATCTTTCACTGAAAATCAAATTCCACAGGGAAGATTAAGGCAAGTGCCTTTTCGATACATTTCAGAAACTAATGCAAGAGCGAATTAATATATTGTGCCTTAGAACTCAAGAACTGTAGGAACAGAAAGCTCAAGAAACACATCCCATTCTCCAGAGCTGGTTTTAAGGCAGTTCTGTTTCCAATGGACTATGGCTCTGCATAGTGGGAACCTGGGAGCAGGTCTCTGCTGTGTTATAAATTATTCGCTGACCCCTGCTTTGTCTGTTCCCAGGAAGCCTGACGTGAAGCTCCCTCTCAATGAGAGCTGGTGTTTTGAAAAACCCTTTTCAGGAGTGTCAAGGCACGATGAATTGGCCAGGGGAAGCATGTTTATAGACTGTGTAAAGAACTTTGTCTTTGTGTGGGAATGTTGGTGACACTGTTACAGTTTGACTGAATGAACTGTGATGACGCGGCTAATAAGATGTCCTGCTGGGCACCTCTGTGGGGGCTCCTCAGACCTCCCACCTCACTCCATTGAGTTCCAGCTCAGTGTGGCTAATTTACCAATTCTTCAGGCCTCACAAAGGGGAGCAAAGTCAACTTTCACACCGCAGGGCAAGATAAGTGCTTTAGGAAATAATCGTGTAAACAGAATGTTACCTTCTGACCTGCAGCTGATACCTTGACTCTGGACAAAACCACTGAGGCTATCACATTAGACATGGCTATTAAGGGAATAAAGCAGTTAGATCTCTTTACAATGTGAGCTGGGAAATCTTTGGCTGTTTCAGTGTGCCACATGTCAACTGATCCCCTTATTGGTACCACTAGGCCCACACTAGCTTGCTGCCTTTCTTTTGCTCAGCCTGACTTTATCGGCCAGAATAGAATGAAGCTAGCTGAAGCTCTTCATAGGATCAGTTTTCAGTTAAGCTGATTCTAGGCAGTAAAATGTTCATTTTCTTGGGGATACATGGTTTCATGTATGTGCCAAACTTTTTAGAAAATATTTTATTTATTGTACCTGCTTGAGAAATAGGCAGCAGTACCTGCTTGAGAAATAGGCAGCATTTTGTTGAACCTTTGGCAGTGCATGTGTTATGAGCAAGAAAAGTAGTTGCAGGAATTTTCACCAGTTGGTTTGGCAGAAGAAAAAAGTTTACTTTTCTAACAGATTGATTTTTTTCAGCATATAGAGTTCTGCTGGTGTTGGCCAATATTTGTGTAAAATGAATCAATGAGTATGTGTTTTATACACAGAAAATAGAGAGCAGAAAGCAGCAGAAGCAAACAAGAAACAGTGTTGGGTTGTACTGCTCTCTCCATGAATCATTTCTAATAATGTGCCTTTTGCATTGGGCATGTGTTTCAGATAATTTGCAGAGGGTTAAAAATACTATGACTTTGTGCAGAAGTGACTAATTGCACAAACATCCATATATAAACTGAGTATTTAGTTACACCTCCTTCTAATTCCTCTAAGATTTGCCTCAAATGTTTTATAACCCAAGGGCAGGAAAGAGACCAACACTCAGTGTCTTTTATAGCATCATAAATATATTGTTATCAGGGTAATGTCTGCTTAGATTTATTCTGCTGATTAGCTAGGCAGGCATCCCCCATCATTAATTAAGCAAGTCCTTTTATTTAATTTCTTATCTTTATACTTTTAAGGGCCCCTTTAGGCAACTGATTAGGTAAAGAAGTTAATTATAGGCTGCTTAGTTGCATTTTAAATATATGAATGCTGGCTGCTGTTGTCCTTGCCTCCACAGTAACTATGAAAATGGAATCCTTGCTCTATAGATCCCGAATGTACTTTTTTTTGCTCTAACATATTGATGAAGACCACTGCTCAACATCTAAATACATTTCCTTTATAACAATAAGACCAACAGCATCTGATTTAAACAGGTTTTTTCTTTCTGCCATTATTTCTGTTTACCACTATGGGTCTCTCTTGTCTTGTGTCCCTTCCAAAAGGCTGTCATGAAGTGCCAATTACTGTTTTTTGACCAAGGCTTTGATATAAATATTTTCCTCTAAAATTCTAGAATACGACTTTTTGTTTCACTTAGCTGAAAACTGTATTTGCCCAAACTTATTATCTAAGGTAAGATTTATACTGTTCATAAAAATATGTTTTAATTAGCATTGAAGTTTGAGTATCGAAAGCTTCTAGATGACCAAAACTTTCAATTAGGTTTAGAGTTGCCACCAGGTGGCACTGTGCACTACAGGAAATGCGCATTAATTTTACCATGACAAATGATAATGTTTCCTTTTTATTTCCCTTTAGGTTTATTAATTTAATTATAAAAGATGCTTTGTCAAAATGTGATGTGATTTTTTTCTTGAGTTAACCTGCCTCTTTTTTCTTTGCAGAATTACAGACCAGAGGTATGAAAAGGTGCCACACTTCATCTTTGGAGATTTTAACTTCAGGCTGGATTCAAAGCTAGTTGTAGAGGTGGGTAAATTTGAAATTTAGATGGGTAGACAATTGATTGAAACTCATTCATTTTTCTGTTTCTTATTTTATCAAAAATATATATACTAAATGTTAAACTTTGAAGAGTCTAGATTATCGTCATTTTTTTAACTAGAATTTGGTGTCACTATACATCAGTATCGTGTAAATAGTTTCGGCACGCTCTAGATTTGAGTTCGGTTTTTGTTAAGATGGGGACTCAAACATTACAGTCATTTTAAATTTTATATTTAAATGCCACCCCACTGCAGTCACGCAGAGAAATGATTAACAGTACCTGTCACAGATACATTTATGAAATAGTTTGTTTTTTCCTATTCTTGATGGAAAGAAGAGATTATTTTTATGTCTGATGTTAAACTTATGTCAGTGCTGTATTTAACCAGAATATGCTCAAATGGGTCTTTTCTATCTGAAGGTGTTTAATGTCTGTTTATCCTCTTTTAAGTTTAGCCTCTGTACATGACCATCAGGCCAGCAGGTGGCTTATGCGGGTGAGACACACAATGCACTAATCCTGGAGCAGCATCCTTTCTCGTCACTTGGTCATCTTCGGTTTTCCTTCAATAGTTTTAAAGTACAAGGAAGCAATCATTTGAGGCTTTGTTAGCTTTAACAGTTTATCCAAACCGGCCACAGGCTGTGGTAATGATACTTATAGTTGGCCCTGCCTTTGTAGTTGCACAGGTCATGCAGATTTAAAGGTCATTATTCCCTTCACCATGGTCATCCCAGCTGTGTTTGCCCTCTAAGTGCATTGTTATGGGTCCTCTGTCTAGAATGCAGATGCTTATTTGCTTTCAATGGCTTCGGATGAAGTTATAAACAGGAGCTGGTGCCATTTTAAATTTTAAAACACAAGAAAGCAAAGTGGTATTCCGTGTTGTCCGCCCTGCCTTTGTTAAAAGCTAATAAAGAATGTATCTAAAGGAATGAAAACAGATTTGCTACTCAATTTGACATTGCAGTATTGATAGGACAGGTGTCTCAGGACTGGATTATAGATACATTATTACATACCAGTAGATACAGTAGATATACATGAGATATCTTATATACTGTATAAGGTGTAAGCATATAGGTATAAGCTGCACTTAAAAATTGAATTATATATCACATATTCCTACAGCTTGGAGTGTTTCAGAGTAAAATGGCACATGTTTCAGGGTTAAACAGTTATGTGCCATTTTAGTTTTACACCTGCAAAATAAGCACATTTTTTATTTCTATTCAGTGCAGACAAAAAAAATGACTTTATAATTGGACTAGTACTTAATGAGTTTTAATTTTACTACAGTATCAGTTTCTTCTTGAGATGTCTTTTGAATTCTTTTCGGTCTTAATGTTCTTTTGAAAAAGAAATTTAGGGTGACAGCCTAAATGAATCACTTTTTTATTGCTGGAACAAAACTGCTCAAAAACAATATGGTGAAAGATCTTCAATCAAGCTGTAGGCACACTGTAAAGGGTTCTCCTTGGGTTCTTGAGGACTGGCTGTTTCTGATTGTGCATCTGATAGATGAATAAGAGAAAGGATGCTGGAAAAGGATACAGTCCCCAGCACACAGCATGGGGCAGGTCTCTATGCCAATGGAACTGAAGAGTATTAAGGATCCATTTTCAAAGACTTATTAGGACAGCTTTTGTGTGGTTGGGACAGCTTTCATTAGATTGCATTTGTGTGTCAGTTAATTATGTGTTGATTTTACAGAGAAAAAGGAGAGTACTCGTGATTTAGATTTTTGTTAAATAAATAACATTAACCAGATGTACAATATTTAAACTATAAACATCACTGCCCGTCCAGACTGTTTTAGCTTAAGTTTTACACTTACAGTAGATCTTCTGAAGGAATGCCTGGAAATGAACACTCCTCAGCAACATCATACGTGTTTAAACTATAATTTATTTTCTTCAGTTTCTAGGAAGTAACTAGGAAGGCAGTTTCAGATCTATCGACAAATGCTAAAATGTGCTTTAATTTGAAGACCCTCAAGTTCAAAAGTCAAAATCCCAGTGTTATAGTTTAGAAAGGAGATGTGCTCTTCAGCATTCTTTTCTCATTATCCCAGCACTGTGGTGGGTAAACAGAGCAAGATGTTATCAGTGTCTTTTCCACATAGAAAAAAGTGTTTAAATGTAGAGGGTCATGACCCCTTTTCCATAAATGTGTAAGGCTACCTACATCTTGGTGTCTGACTCTAGCTGCCATTTTGTTCTTTTAACATGCAGAGGTGCCCTTTCCCCTCCAGTTGTTCAGGCAGATGTTCCTGATTGATTTTCTTGGCATGAGGGAGGATCGTCCCTACAGGGGGCTTTAGTCCAACAGAGCTACAGAAATTGTAGCAGGAAGTGCAGGCTATGGTCCATGAAATTCCCTAGCCAGGAGGATTAAAGGTTGTACAAACTTTTCACAAGTTTTCTGAAGGGTGTTAATTAAGAATATTTAATATGTTGCTGTACACTGGTGTAAGAATTGATGCTTTTGTGTTCTTTTCATTTCTGTGGAAGGAAATAAGGAAAGTTTTTTCTAACCATGAGTTAATATTAATATCAGAATCAAATCATGTTTTCTGTTTGATATGAACAGATTTGAGATGTTCTTTTAAATGTGCATACTTAATTGTTCAACCTATTTTCATAGCATTTTTTTAACAAAGAAATTCTAAAACTTTCTAAGCAGCTGCAAGGTCACAGTTTTTAAACTTTCCAAAAGTCATACAATGAAATGAGACAAAGATTTAAGTAGATCTTATCTAAAGTCTTTTCTTCAAATGCTATGCAGAATTGACTGTCTCCCCAGACAGCTAATTAAAGCATTCAGAACTTTTACAGCAATACATTTAGAACTGTTACAGCAATACAGCAACTGCTATATTGTCTAGTTGCTCTTTTCCCAAGCATCTGTGACCGTTACCACTATGCGACAAAGTCCCAGAGAAGACTGTCATTTCGATGTTCTTTAAATGTGCTGCAGCCCATCGTGGCATTGTCCAGAGCTGGACAGGTGCGGGATTCTTCACATACTTCTACAGGGAGGTCAGTAACCAAAGGCTATAACCAGCCCAAGAGAAGGGAGTACAATTAATTTTAGCAGACATAAGGAATTGGCTTCTTTTGACCCTTATTCAAGGGGCTTTTCAAAGGGGGACAAAAGACACAGCCACGTGGATACTAATGGTGTCACTGATCTCACCGGAGGTGGTCCCCTCTTCCCGCGGAAACAGGAGATTCATAAAGGCACAAACATTCTGATTGGCCAGTACATGTCCTACTTGAATGAATATATATTATTACTGTATACAAATGGTGAGCTTTAATTCTTATCAGTGGTTTCTAATTCTATGCCCTGCTTAGTTCTTGGAGAATTTATATAACCTTCACGTTCGCCTTATTGCCATTGTGGCGTGAATAACTTTTTTATGTGTTCCTGACAGTTTAAATATGGGTTGAATAATAAATATTAAAAGGTTGAACAGTTATTTAAGAGCACTCACTCATCATCTCTCTGGGTGGTTTATATCCAGCCCTGGCTAAAGCAAAATCCCCTTTTTCAGATCACTTGATATCTATCAAAAGCAGGGAGCACTTTTTTCCACCAACAATCCTGCTTTAACTGCCTTTAGCTTCAGTATGCTATGTTGTAAACAGTATGAGAGTACTCAGGCTCAAAGCTAAGTATATTTAAAATCTTTGTAATAAAACGTAATAGAATGTAAATTATATTTCTGGAAAATTGTGTGCTTCTTCTGCATCTTGCAATTTAGGGATTGATAGAGGCCAATGTGTGGGGTTAATTGCTGACATGATCTACTTTACCCATGACTTGACTTGTGCCTGTTTTAATTTGAGTTTTTTCATTACTCTCAGGCACATTTCATTATGCACAGTTATCACTTGTCTTGCTTTAGTGTGCTTTAGAACTTGCTATCATTGGTAATTAGAGCTCCTTTTAAAAAATTTAAAAAACATTTTAGGGCTTCATTAAACAGTGATGTTTGGTGATGCATCTTATTTTACTCCCATGTTAACAAATGCTGTTGGCTGTCTTGATTGTGACAGTCAGTAATCCTATGGGTATGCATCAATCTTTCCTTTGTCTCTTGCGTTCTTTACTTGAGCACCATGAAATTAAAGGTGTGACTGTTTACGGGCTTCGCACAAAATGAATGTTGTAAATGGTCCTTAATGACAAGGAGGGTAATAAATATTTCATTTTTCAGCAGCAAGATGCTTTACAGCATGCAAGGTGATGCACAACAACAAGACATTTTAGTGTGAAGGAATCCCACCTTGATTTGAAAATGCAGTGTAGTTAAATGATTGTCCTGCAATAAAATGTCTTCCTCTTTATCCTAACCTTGCTTAGCATTTTGTCCTACCAATATAAATCAAAACATTGTTGTGTAATTATGTATACAGTACATTAGTCAAGCTAATTAATTTTAGGACCTATCTGTTTAACCATCAGGGTATCACTGATTACCTCTCACTTTGCTTGGATTTTTGACACCAACAATTCCAACAGCGCTGTTGCCAGCCTTCTGGGCAAAGATTCATTGGAGGTTAATTAAATCCATCTTCAAAACAACGAGGGGCCAATGAGCCATATCGTCATTGAAACAGTAAATTAAGTAATGCAATTGTTTTCAGTTCTATCATTCTACAGACTGGGAGTGGGCTTCTGGTTGTTTTGTCCATGGACTGTGGAGGTGGCACATTTCAGACTCACGGGAGCTGTGATACCATGTGGTCATAAAACCAGTTTTAATCAGCAGACGCAGGAAATATCCAACTGTAACAGCACAAGTGGCCTTATAAGCCTCATTATTGGAAAGATGACACAGTGCTCAAAGGAGATACTGTTCCCAGTGGGCAGAAGCTCCCTGCTTTGCTTGAGATGTAAATTAATACAAAAGAAAAGGACTAGAGAGAGAATGTACTGCTCAGAGGGCGGAATGCAAGAGATGGCACTTTGA